CTTTTAATATTCTCTCTCTATTATTACATTTTGCCATTTTAACTATTATGTGGACCTTTTTTTTAAAGATTGTATTTATTTATTTGAGAGAGAGAGAGGGAAAGCACGAGCAGGGGGCAGAGGGGTAGAGGGAGAAGCAGACTCCCTACTGAGCAGGGGGCCTGATGTGGGACTCAATCCCAGGACCCTGGGATCATGACCTGAGCCGAAGGCAGACGCTTAACCTGAGCCATCTAGGTGTCCCTCCTTCTGAAGTTTTAATGTGGATTTCTTGTATACAACGTATAGTGAGTCTGGTATTTTGATCCATTCTGACAATCTTCGTGTTTTAATTGGTGCATTTAGACCACTGACACCCGAAGTGATTATTGATATGGTTTTTATCAATATCTATCATATTTGTAATTTTTTTCTATATCTTGCCCTTGTTCTTTGTTCCTTTTTATCTTTTATCCTTTTTATCTTTATCTTTTTTATCTTTTATTATTGATATGGTTTTTATCAATATCTATCATATTTGTTATTGTTGTCTATATCTTGCCCTTGTTCTTTGTTCCTTTTTTATCTTTCATTCACTCTTATTCTCTCTTTTGTGGTTTTGAGAATTTGATGTGATTCCGTTTTCATTGCATTCTTAACATATCAGTTATACTCCTTTTTTATTGGCTGCCCTAAAGTTTGCAATATACTTATACAACTAATCCAAGTTCACTTTCAAATAACTATACATCTTTGTGTACAGTGAGAGTATCTTAAAATAACAAAATAATTCTAATTCCTTCCTCCTGTCTCTTGTATTATTGCTCCCATTTATTTCACTTACACATTAGCATACATAATCGAATACGTGGTTGCCATTATTATTATTATTATTATTTTTAAAGATTTTATTTATTCATTTGACAGAGAGAGAGAGACAGTGAGAGCGGGAACACAAGCAGGGGGAGTGGGAGAGGGAGAAGCAGGCTTCCCTCTGAGCAGGGAGCCTGATGTGGGGCTTGATCCCAGGACCCTGGGATCATGACCTGAACCAAAGGCAGACACTTAATGACTGAGCCACCCAGATGCCCCCTCCATTATTATTATTATTATTATTATTTTTTTTTTTAAGATTTTATTTATTTATTTGAGAGAGAGAACGAGATAGAGAGAGCATGAGAGGGGGGAGGGTCAGAGGGAGAAGCAGACTCCCCGCCGAGCAGGGAGCCCGATGCGGGACTCGATCCCGGGACTCCAGGATCGTGACCTGAGCCGAAGGCAGTCGCTCAACCAACTGAGCCACCCAGGCGCCCCCCCTCCATTATTATTTTGAACAAACAAAAGATAATTAAGAATATAGATCAATTAAGAATATAAAAATATGTTTTTATTTTACCTTCACTTATTCCTCTTTTTGATACTCTTACTTTCTTTGTATAGGTCCATGTTTCTGACCTATATTATTTTCCTTCTCTCTAAGAAGTTCTTTTAACATTGCTTATAAGTCAGTTTCTACTGGCATCAAATTCCCTCAATTTTTGTTTTTCCAGAGAAGTCCCTATTTCTTCTTCACCTTTGATGGTTAATTTTGCAGGGTACAGAATTAGGGTGATAGTTTTTTTCTCTCAGCACTTTAAATGTTTCACTCCATTCTCTTCTTGTTTCTGTGGTTTTAGAGAAGTCTGATGTAATTCTTATCTTTGCTTCTCTAAGGAGGTGTTTTTCCCCCCTCTGGCTTTTTAAAATTTTTTAAAATTATTTATTTTTTAAATTTTTAAAAGTTTTTATATACATTCCAGTTAACATACCATGTAATATTAGTTTCAGGTGTACAATATAGTGATTCAACACTTCCATAGGATTTTTCTTTATCTTTGATATTCTGTAGTTTGAATATGATATGTCTAGATGTAGTTTTCTTTGGCATTTATCCTGCTTGGTGTTCTGTGAGCTTTTTGAATCTGTGGTTTGGTATCTGTCATTAATTTGGAGGAAATTCTCAAATGTTATTGTTTCAGTATTTCTTGTGTTCTGTTCTCTTTTTATTCTTCTTCTGCTATTCCCATTATGCATATGTTACACCTTTTGTAGCTGCTCCACATTTCTTGGATATTCTGTTTATTCCCCCCTCCTTCCCTACCCCCCATGTTCTTTTCCTCTTTTTAGTTTTGGAGGCTTCTATTGAGATACCCTCATGCTCAGATTTTTTACTCAGCTGTGTCCAGTCTAATAATGAGCTCACTAAAGACATTCTTCATTTCTGTTACAGCATTTTTGATCTTTCATGTTTCTTTTTGGTTCTTAGAATTTCTGTCTCTCTGCTTACATAGCTCATCTCTTCTTGCATGCTGTCTACTTTGTTCGTTACAGCCCTTAACATAGTAATCGCTTTAAATTTTTGGTCTGAGAATTCCAACATCCCTGCTACATCTGAGTCGGTTCTGATGCCTGCTTTATCTCTTCAAACTGGGGGGTGGGGTGGGATGTTGTTTGTTTTTTAGTATGCTTGGTAATTTTTTCTTGTTAGCTGGATGTGATGTACTGAGTAAAAGGAACTGCTGTAAATAGACCTTTAGTAATGTGGCAGTATGGCGTGGTGAAGGGGAAGCATTCTGTAGTCCTATAATTTTGTCTCATTCTTTTAGTGAGTCTTTGCCTCTAGACTTTGAATTTAAAGTGCTTCTCAGCTCTTCTAATTACTTCCCTTAAAGTGGAACAGGATGGCTAGAGTGGGTATTTTCCCTTTCCCTAACCAGGCTCTGATAAAACTACAGCGGGTTAGGCTCTGGTTACATAGTTTTTCCTGAGGGTAGACTTCATTAAAAAGAACAGAATGCTTTGGTATGTTTCAGAATTGCAGCTGTGCCCCTCCCCTTGCCAGAAGCCCAAGGGGAATTTTCTCAGATAAACGTGGTAGAGCTCCAGAAGGTAAAACTCTGCAAGTTTTTCCCTCCTTCCCCACCATTGACTGGATTACCCTGGAGTTTTTCTCTCTCAGATTTTCCACATTGAGCTTCCAGCAATTCAACAATTACAGTTCAGGTTTCCCTTCCCTGGGATTTGTTCCCACAGAAGTTTTGGCTCCTGGATTTTTGCTTCAGTAAGTTGTGATCCTCTGTATTTGTCTGTCTGCGTAATTTTGAGAGCAGTGTCTTAGCCTGTGAAGAGTTGTTGATTTGCAGTTTGTTCATCTTTTTACTTGTTAGGATGGAATGGCAATTTCGACCTTCTTGCATGCCAGACTGGAAACTGGAAGTCTATTTATTTTTTTAGTCTATTTTGTCTCTGTTGTTTGAGTAATTTCTATTATTCTTTCAATTCACTGTTTTTTCTGTCCTCTCCATTCTGCTGATGAGCACATCCACTGAGCTTTTTATTTTTATTATATTTTTCTTTTCTTTTTTTTTTTTTTTAAAGATTTTATTTATTTATTTGAGACAGAGAGAATGAGAGACAGAGAGCATGAGAGGGAGGAGGGTCAGAGGGAGAAGCAGACTCCCTGCCGAGCAGGGAGCCCGATGCGGGACTCGATCCCGGGACTCCAGGATCATGACCTGAGCCGAAGGCAGTCGCTTGACCAACTGAGCCACCCAGGCGCCCTATTATATTTTTCAATTATAAAATTCCATTTGGTTCTCATTTATATCTCTAATTTGTTGGCTGAAATTTTCTATTTCTTTTCTGAGGTATTCTTTTTTTCCATTTGGTTCAAACATCTTTGTACTTTCTTGTTGAAGCATCTTTATTATGGTTTCTTTAAAATTTTTGTCAGAGGGGTGCCTGGGTGGCTCAGTCAGTTAAGTGTCTGCCTTCAGCTCAGGTCATGATCCCAGGGTCCTGGGATCAAGTCCTGCATTGGGCTCCCTGCTCAGCGGGGAGCCTGCTTCTCCCTCTCTTCCCCACTCGTGCTCTTTTACTATCTCTGTCACTCTCAAATAAATAAATAAAATGTTAAAAAAAATTAAAAAAAAAAACTTTGTCAGATAATTCTAATATTTCTTTTATCTTGATATTGGCATGTATTTATTTTCTTTTTTAAAAATTAATTTTGAAGTTGAAAGCAGAGCTACCCTATGACCCAGAAATTGCACTACTGGGTATTTACCCCAAAGATAAAAATGCAGTGATCCAAAGGGGCACATGCACCCCAATGTTTATAGCAGCAATGCCCACAATAGCCAAGCTATGGAAAGAGCCTAGATGTCCATCAACAGATGAACGGATAAAGAAGATGTGATACACACACACACACACACACACACACACACACTGGAATATTATGCAGCCATCAAAAAATGAAATCTTGCCATTTGCAATGATGTGGATGGAACTAGGGGGTATTATGCTAAGCGAAATAAGTCAGAGAAAGACAAGTGTCATATGATCTCACTGATATGAGGAATTTGAGAAACAAGACAGAGGATCATAGGGGAAGGGGGGGAAAAATGAAACGAGCCAAAACCAGAGAGGGACACAAACCATAAGAGACTCTTAATCTCAGGAAACAAACTGAGGGTTGCTGGAGTGGAGGCAGGTGGGAGGGATGGGGTGGCTGGGTGATGGACACTGGGGAGGATATGTACTATGGTGAGCTCTGTGAATTGTGTAAGACTGATGAATCACAGACCTGTACCCCTGAAACAAATAATACATTATATGTTAATAAAAATTTTTTTTTAATTAATTTTGAGAACTTGTAATTCATGGTATAATGGGTAATTTTCCATTGAAACCTAGATATTATTGTGTAATATCTAAGAGTCTGGATCTTCTTTAAACCCTCTGTTTTACCTGGCTTTTTCTGACACCACTCTGGCAAGGGAGATGGGACCCTACCTTGTTACTGCCTGAGATAGGTAGACTTGATCTCCTTGACACCTGATTGGTGGGCTCCTTGCCACTTCTGGGTGAAGATGCAAGTTCCAGTTTCCTTGAGGTCTTCCTGGGTCCTGAATTTTGTAATACAACAAACTTAAACTTTTTCTTTTTTATTGGACATCTGTGGCCTTCTGTCAATACAGAGAAAGATTGGAGCTGCTGCCCAAAGGCTTGGAAGTCATTTAGTTCCAACTGCTACTTTATTTCTACTACAATAAGAAATTGGACTGAGAGTGAGAGGAACTGCTCAGAAATGAAGGCTCACCTGCTGGTGATAAACACCAAGGACGAACAGGTACTTTCTTTTTTTTTTTTTTTTAAAGATTTTATTTATTTATTCATGAGAGAGAGAGAGAGAGGCAGAGGGAGAAGCAGGCTCCCAAGGAGCAGAGAGCCCGATGCGGGACTTGATCCCAGGACCCGGAGATCATGACCTGAGCCGAAGGCAAACGCTTAACCATCTGAGCCACCCAGGCGCACCTAACAGGTACTTTCTAATAGATGATGGAGTCAGGAGTCCTGCCTAGTTTTTGTATACCTCTCTTGTCTAAGGAGGTTTTTTGTTTGTTTTTTTTTTTTAAAGATTTTATTTATTTATTTGACAGAGAGATAGAGAGAGAGCACAAGTAGGCAGAGCTGCAGGCAGAGGGAGAAGGAGAAGCAGGCTCTCCGCCGAGCAGGGAGCCCAATGCGGGGCTCGATCCCAAGACCCTGGGATCATGACCTGAGCCGAAGGCAGATGCTTAACCGACTGAGCCACCCAGGCGCCCCTTGTCTAAGGAGGTTTTTCACTGTTTTGGAATATTGGTGTTATGGCAGAAGGCTTTTAGTAAAACTGATAAGAAAGGCTACCTAAGCCTTCACATGCTACACCTTCTTCCTGTTTCCATAAAACTAATCTCTCCCAAAATAAGTTGGGGCATTTAAAGTATCATATGTGGGGTTCGAGTTGAAGAACGAAAATGTTTTAGGCTGAATATCAGTTTATTATTTCAACCTGTAAATATTTTATAAATTATTAACTGTTTCACTGAGAAAGGGGTATTATAGCAATAGAGAAACAAAGTTCAATCATGAAGAATCACGTCAACAATCAGGAATGAAGTTAAAGAAGTTATGAAAGGAAAATGATTGAATCTGCAAAAAAATTTTTCATGCATGACTTTGAAGAATACCACCTCTTAGTGAAAGGGGGAAGTGAATCTGAGATGAGAATTCATTATGATCCTGGATAGAAATTGCTTCCATTTGTGTTGAACATTGCTGTATTCTGAATGTTTATGTCTCCCCCAAACTTCATATGGTGAAATCCTAACCCCCAAAGATGACGGTATTTGGTGGTGGGGCCTTTGAGACGTGCTTAGATACTGAGGGTGGAACCTTGATGAATGGGATTTGTATTCTTATAAAAGAGACCCCACCCAGCTGCCTCGCCCCTTCTACCATGTGAAGACACAGGGAGAAAAAGCTGGCCTTCACCTGAACATGCTAGTACCCCGATCTGGAATTTCCAACCTCCAGAACTGTGAGAAAGAAACTTGTTGTTTATAAGCTACCTGGTCTGTGGTATTTTGTTATAGCAGCCTGAGCAGACTGAGCCAAGCATCATGCTCACAAGTGATCTCTTTGATCCTGCACTGTTCAGCCGGAGAAGACTTCAGCTTCTGGGGAGGGCCCCCCTGTCGCTCTTCCTGGATCCTTTCCTTTTCTTCTCTTCTCCCTAAGGCTGTAAAGAACTCCGTTCTACCTGAATACTCTAAAGGCTATAACTCTTTTCTTCCTTTAGGATTTTATCTTCCAGAACCTGGATACATATTCTGCTTATTATATAGGGCTGTCAGACCCAAAGGGAAAAAGAGATTGGAAATGGGTTGATCAAACACCATACAATGAAAGTGTCACGTGAGTACAGAATTAGATAAAGGAATCCTGAGCCCTGGATCATGCAGGGATTTTAGAGTGTTACAACTATCAGCTATGAAAATAAAATAGCTTACTCTTCTTTTAACTCTTGCGTTAAATAATTTTATTTGTTATCTCATTTAATCATCACAGGAACTCTATGAAGCACACAGTATTATTTTTCCCACTGTAGAGGTGAGGAAATTGAGTTTAGAGAGTTTAGATAACTCAGCAAAGATTATCTAGCATTGGCAACAAATGATCCTCAAATCCAGCTCTATTTGACACCGAAGTCTGTACTTTTAATTACTACATTATATCTCTAAATATAACAAAAATTTATGTCAATTAAGATCATGGCCGATTATTGATTTAATATTTCTCATAAAGCAAATGAGCTAACTTCTGATAGTTACAATATCTCATATTTACGTAGGTCTTTTTTAAAACTCTTAAATACTTCAGTGCATTTTAGTACAATACCACCTTTGATCCTCCTATCACTGTGTGAAACATACAGGAATATGACTCTAGTCTCTATTTTTTATTTTTTATTTATTTATTTTTTTAAAGAATTTATTTATTAGAGAGAGAATGAGAGAGAGAGAGCACATGAGAGGGGATAGGGTCAGAGGACGAAGCAGACCCCCCACCGAGCAGGGAGCCCGATGTGGGACTCGATCCCGGGACTCCAGGATCATGACCTGAGCCGAAGGCAGTCGCTTAACCAACTGAGCCACCCAGGCGCCCTAGTCTCTATTTTTTAGATATGGAAATCAGGGAAATTAAATTACATATCTAAGATAACAAGAATCTTAGCAGATTTAGCGGTTTTAACTAGTTCTTTGGACTCCAAAAGCAATATATATATAAAAAAAGGAAACAACTATAATGATACTTGGGACTGGGATGAAATCTTTCTTTTCCATCATTTAAGGGAGATTATGGACTGGCAGTCCCTTGGGAACAGGACATAATGATGGACAAATAGAAGGGCTATCTGTTAGGAGAATGTTTAATGCAATAAGATGACACAATACTGGGTGATGTCAGTTTTTGAGGAAATGCCAGGGCTTCAGGTAGAGGAGAAACTGCATGAAAATTGGAGAAGGAATGATTTGGGCATATCTGACCTTGACTTCCACACGGTTCAGCCCCAGCCCCCTCCCTTGCCCTTTTCAAAGCACTGTTTGAAGAAACAACCTCATCCATTTTTTCCCTTTCAGATTTTGGCACTCGGGTGAACCCAGGAATCTTGATGAGGGTTGTGTTAAGCTACATTTTCGTTATCTAACAAGAAAATGGGGCTGGAACACTGTTCCTTGTAATGGACATCACAAGTCGATGTGCAAGGTGATGAAGATCTACTTATGAATGGGAACATTCTGCATGAACATGTAGTTGAATTGGTATCCACTATTACAGAGATAGCTAACTTGCTCTTTTTATTCATGTGTAAGTCTTGTGTAAGGAATTTTCATAGCATTTTTCAGTAGGCTTGTCACCTATTCCATTTATGATAGAATCAGTATACACATTCATTCATTTGTGCCTTCTCCATGTGTAGAAACCATACTGGAGAGCTCTTTTGCAGACACATGGAGGAAGCATGAGCATCCTTTCCAAATTTTTGTTAGAGGAGTTAGATATTTTGCTAAGGAGTTAGATATTGATATAATTATATGATGGGGTTCCTCCATCTGTCTGGATTTTTTTTTTTCATGAGGTTGGTCAAAAGCGAAATAATCCTGTTACTTTCCATTCCTCTCAGACATATTTATTACCTTTAACTGAAGCATATTATGTGACAGTTGGAATATGATACACATCAATGGAAGTTAAGTTCCAGCTTTGTCCCAGTAGACTATTTGGGGTTCTTAACATTCTCTGTTCAGTCTTAGACTGTCATTTAACATCAGTGTACAGTTGAAGGGAAATCAGAAATTGAACATTAGAGATTTAGAATTAGAAGTTATTACTAGTGAGTTGACATAGATTTATAATCCCTACTTTTTTTCTTTGCTTCAGTTTTATAGTTTCTGTGTGTAGATTGCCACTCAGAATGGCTCCTGGTTTATTCTTGTTCCTCTTTTCACTGAAGTTCTTACTGACCATTTTATTTATACTACAATGTATAACACATTTATTTTTACATATTTACAGTAAAGCCTGTTATTCATTGCTTTCATATGCTAATTATAATTGATCATAATAAAGCTGATTCTAGCCATGGCTATCGCAGTGTGACCTCTTGAGATTATGCCCTGATTATCTTGATGCAACGGAGTAATTACATTTGCCACTCATTTCCTGACTGTATCTAAAAATGAGTTATTTTTATACAGATCTGATCTTATCCATTGTATGTAGAATTTACCAGTTTATTCTTCAGAGAGCAACTTACTTGCAATTCTGGAAGAATTCTAGGGAAGCCTTACTTACAAAGAGCTTTTCCCACTATTATTTCAATAATATGGGGTTGGAGTGAAGGGCAAAAAGAACCACTTTACTAATGCTTTTGATTGTCAGAATAGAGGGTGTGCTTGAACTGAAGTGCAAGGGAGAATTGGTGACATTAGTTACTGCTGGGACTTTAACCTCCACCTTACATTTTATGAATGTGATTCAGATCCTATTTTCTTTAATTTTCCATAAAGCACCACTAAATCAAGATTGTGGGGTAATAGAGTTTGTGTAAGATTTGTGTTTAAGGAGTGATATGAAAATGAAGAGGCGAGCTGGGTGGTGGGAGGAGCTGTTAAAGGAAGGAGCCGGAGCTGTCGATTAAGCTGATCAAGATGACAACCTCCCAAAAGCACCGAGACTTCGTGGCAGAGCCCATGGGGGAAAAGCCAGTGGGGAGCCTGGCCGGGATTGGTGAAGTCTTGGGCAAGAAGCTGGAGGGAAGGGGCTTTGACAAGGCCTATGTGGTCCTTGGCCAGTTTCTGGTGCTAAAGAAAGATGAAGATCTCTTCCGGGAATGGCTGAAGGACACATGTGGTGCCAATGCCAAGCAGTCCAGGGACTGCTTCGGGTGCCTTCGAGAGTGGTACGACGCCTTCTTGTGAGGCTCTCTTGGGGAGCCTCCAGTCCCTAGCCCCAGTATTGAGTCTCCAGAGTTTGCAGCCACATGGGGACTCCTCCCCTGTCCTCTACAAAGGAAGACATTGCTGTTGTTGTATTCACTTCTGATGTACTTCAAGGTCTTTGGGAGTTCTCTCCCCTCACCATTTCAACTTTTTTGAAATTCTCGCTCTTGCATGCATCTCCCTTCTTGCCCTGCCAGTTTCGTGTCAACAATTACCAGCTTTTCTGAGTGGATTCCTGGCCCTTCCTTCACCCCCTGCCCCCACTGGTCTGTTTTATGCTATTTGGTTCCTTTTTTGGTAGAATAGTCAATGTCCTTGTGAAGTTTTTTAAATCAATAAAGTTAGTGACCTTCAAAAAAAAAAATGAAGAGGCATCTAGCTGATTTCAAATGAATGGACAGAATTGTGAAAAATAAGATTGTTGCTTTAAGCCACTAAGTTTTGGGGTGGTTTATTATTCAGCAATGTATACCTGGAACACCTTTGAATTATATTAGTTTTGAATCAGATTCTGCAAAATAATGAAACATAATCACATTGCTGTCTCTAAAAAGATTGACAGTTATAAAGTGAGAATAGATTAATTTTATCATTAGTAAATAAAATGCAAAATAAGTGTTTATTTTTTATACAATTTCTTATTCTTGCGTAGTAGGCATATTATATTACATCATAGGTGTGCGGTTCTTAAATATTTGATATTAAGTGTGCATATACAATTTTTCCAATTATTTATTTATTTAGAGAGTATGAGCAGGGGGAGGGGCAGAAGGAAAGGGAGAGAGAATCTCAAGCAGACTCCACGATGAGTGCACAGAGCCCAGCGTGGGGCTTGATCTCATGACCCTGAGATCATGACCTGAGCTGAAATCAAGAGTCAGATGCTTATCCAGCTGAGCACTCCTTTTTTTCAAATACTAAGTACGACCAAACAAAAATTGTTTTCAGACCAGTGTTCTAGAAAGTGGATTTTAAAATGTTGATTAAAGTTTAGGTAATTGTTCTCTTTGAGGTAAAAGAAAAATAGAGACTACAGACAAAACTATTTGAAGAAAGTGTGTTTATGTTGGTTTATTAAGCAGATATATTTAAGCCTATGAGTGAAATATACTTAGAATTTTAGGCCCTATATTCATCTTTATGGTTGCTATTAAAAACAAACATATAAACAAATAAATCTACCAACACTTAAAGCCCTTTTAGTCAACCTGCCACTTAGTAAATGGAATAGGAGGCAGTAGCAGTGGAATCTTTAGTACCAGGGAAAATACTTCTGCCCATCGGAGCGAAAATGATCAGCCTGGATGAGTTCTCTGAAGGTGGGAATCTGCTGACACATGACAACTCTTCAGGGTTTGTTAATGTTAATTTTGTCTTGATGATAATACTGAAACATAAATTAAGTTTTGTCTTTGCCAATATAGAAATCATCCATGGTACCTACTTTGTCAAAGATGAATTCAGTGACTCAAGGATGGAAGAAATAATGTAGTAATCCAACTGTATTAAGCCAAATGTTCAGTATAAATATTTGATTAATCACATTCTCTCTACAAAATGAAATGCTCTACATCAGTTAAAATTGTTGCAAACGAAACTATATAATAAAGAACCAGTATTTTACTGTGGTGCATATTATTGGTCTATTTATACCTTCTTCCTTAGAAACAAAACTTTGATGTTATTTAGAGAGTCACTTTCTTTCATGCAGCCCAGGTACCTTGTGACCTTTCAGCTCTGAGAGTGGATACTGGTTAGTCCAAGGCAATCAAAACATCATCCTAGTGGTTGGTTGGTTTAGGAATAGGCACAAATTGCATGTTTGCCAGTGAATCACCTCTCCTTGTTCTCCGATGAATCAGGAAGCTAATCTCCCTCTCCCAAAGAATAGGAACAGAGAAATATGTAGTCCTGCCTGCTACTGATGGTCATTCTATCACTATGAGGGGAACTAGCTTTAGGATGACAGGAACACCATGGATAGAAGAGTAGGGCAATGGAAAGAATCTGGTTTCTTTTTTTTTTTTTTTAAAGATTTTTATTTTTATTTATTTGAGAGAGAGAGAATGAGAGACAGAGAGCACGAGAGGGAAGAGGGCATAGGGAGAAGCAGACTCCCTGCTGAGCAGGGAGCCCGATGCGGGACTCGATCCAGGGACTCCAGGATCATGACCTGAGCCGAAGGCAGTCGCTTAACCAACTGAGCCACCCAGGCGCCCCAAGAATCTGGTTTCTTATGGGTATTGTTGAGCCACTGAATCAACTATTCCTGAAGCATATTCTACTCTGACTTTTTAATAATTAAAGGTAATAAATTTCCTAATTAAGTCTTGACTGATATAAAACAGTATATTATTTTTAGTGACCAAACTTTATTGAGATGCAATAGTCTAAAGGAAGAAGCTAACATTTTTAGAGCATGGTTCAGTGATTTTTGTTTGTTTCAGATTCCATTTGAGTGGAATCATATAGTATTTGCCTTTCTCAGTCTGATTTATTTCACTTAGCATAATACCTTCTAGATTCATCCATGTTGCCTCAAATGGCATGAACTCATTTTTTATGGCTGTATAATTTTCCTGTGTGTGTGTGTGTGTGTGTGTGTGTGTGTGTACACACCACATTTTCCTTGTTCATTTGCCTATTGATGGACACTTGGGCTGCTTCCATAATTTGGCTATTGTAAATGATGCTGCAGTAAACATAGGGGTACATATATCCCTTCAAATCAGTATTTTGTTTTCTTTGGCTAAATACCCAGTAGTGGAATTACTGGATCATGTGGTATATCTGTTTTTAATTTTTTGAGAAACTGCCATACTTTTTTCCACAGTGTCTGTAGCAGTTTACATTTCCACCAATAGTGTACAAGGGTTCCCTTTTCTCCACATCCTCGCAAACATGTTATTTCTTCTCTCTTTGATTCTAGCCATTCTGATAGGTGTAAGGTGGTATCTCATTGTGGTTTTGATTTGCGTTTCACTGATAATTAGTAGTGTTGAACATCTTTTGATGTGTCTGTTGGCCAAGGGAAATTAGTTTTCAATAAAAATATATAAAAATATATAATTTTTGTTCCTGCATTTGTGAAAAAAATTCTTTAAATGGATCTGAAGTTTTTATCAGAATTTCAAACGGGTTAGTGACCTAGAAGAGTTTCATTATTTATCTGGGTTGATTTCAGTTTCCCAACATGTTAATTTCACTACTATAGTCCTCTTATAAGGGCTAAAGAAAAATAAAATCATTTAAGGTTACCCAAATAAACCGTTCCACTTCTAGTAATGGAGAATTATTTTGTTGTAGACCAACCCTTGTAACAACAACAACAACAACAAAAACTAGCCAGAGAAAGTTGGCTTCAAAGCATTGGGGAGCTATCATGGCACTGAAGACTTGAGGCACATAACCTGTCTGGATCCATGAACAGTGATCAGCCATTCTTCCCCAAATTTCTTGGAATCAGGTAATCCCCAGCATCTTGATATAATCCCAAAGGATCATCCCAAGAATGACTTACAGGAAATTTCTTATCTGCCAGTGGTAATAAGAAACAACAATAATAATCTCATAAATTGAAAATAATGAGATGCTATATATCTTGTACATGTGAGTCTGTATACCAAAAATATCCTCTACACAGTTGTTTGGAAGAATATCTAAGTATCTCTTAGAAGGTAATGCTTGCCACCAACTATTGATTTAATTGTCTTTAAGTTCTTAAACAAGAGAATCAAACTGGGTCTACTTAGTTAAATCATGGACAATAATTTTCAAAAGGGCAACCCAGTGCTGCTTTCTTGAAAAGGGATTTGGTTCAAATTGCTGATTCACTTCTGATGTCCCCTTTAAAAGATTTCAAGCTGAAAAAACAATATGTACTTTGACTCTAATAGTATGTGATTTTATTTTTAATCTGTGTAAGTTATTATCTTTTCCATTGCTAGTTTTTGCTTTACTCCCTTATTAGACTGAAATAAGCTGCATTTATCTGTACATCTGACCTGAACCTACCACAAGTCTGCTTTTGATCCAATCTCCCTTTCTCCCTATCAATTTTTGTCTTATATTTTATTTTGATGTACTACTCCTTTTTGCTTTTGCTTCTACCATCTCAGCACTCTATTCAAAGCTTGCTACTGTAATCTAGAAATGTATACAGGACAAAGAGCACAGGGTTGCCAATGGTCAAGAGCAAAAAGTGACTTGGGGAGCATACATTGGGGATGGGAAAAGAAGAAAATAGGTCTTTAAATTGATTTTCATATATATATATATATATATATGTATATATATATATAGTTTACAAGAACTGTTTTCTTTGGACCATCAAGTGAGTTAGTCGTTGGGTTTATGTTTCTTTATCTCTGAGGGGAACTGGAAGCAGATGGAGATGTTTTATAACCACTTCTCCTTTTCCCCTTATGACTTGTTGTATCTCTAACCAACACCAGGGAAAATTTTCTAGGGTTCTCAATATCTATTTTATCATTAGCTATAACTATTCCATCACTTTAAAAGCTTGTTAAGTTCAATATGCACCTATCCATAGCAGGGTTTTTTTGTTTGTTTGCTTGTTTGTTTTCATATTCAAGATTGCTCACTTGAGAATGTGGAGATATTCATGATATTAATAAAGAGAAAGATCTACATTCTAGAGACTGTATGTTATGAAGGATCCCCAAGCCCTTGAGTAATTATAAGGAATTAATGAAGCCTGTCTTTGATGTTACACCCCTTTCAAGCTCCCCCTTTCCTAATGAGGGAGATAATAAAAGATTACTAAACTATGCCCAATATTGGTCTTGATGCAATAAGAATGTTTCATTGCTTTTGCAGATGGAGTCCAGAATCTTCCATTTTGCAATCATATTCCTGAACAATGTCTGTGGACCTTTATGTAATTTCTATATTACCCTTATTATTGAAGCCATATCTAGTCAGTCAGGACTTCTGCTTACTTCCTAAGACACTGTTCAATACATGGATTAAGCTTTCCCTAAAATCCAACATAAAGGTTGACTTGTGAGTACTTAAGACCTACAAATAAATTGCTCTTAGGGCATATGAAATTTTTTATTTTGCATGCCAGAATAACTAGGAATCAGAGAGAGAAATTTTTTTTTAAAGATTTTATTTATTTATTTGAGAGAGAGAATGAGATAGAGCATGAGAGGGGGGAGGGTCAGAGGGAGAAGCAGACTCCCTGCCGAGCAGGGAGCCCGATGCGGGACTCGATCCCGGGACTCCAGGATCACGACCTGAGCCGAAGGCAGTCGCTTAACCAACTGAGCCACCCAGGTGCCCAGAGAGAGAAATTTTATGTCAGGAATTGAACACACGATCTGAATGCTCTTGTCAAAGTTAGAATGGACAGTTTTGGATATGTGTCTCAATTTCCTGTTTTTTAAATTTTTTTTAAAAGATTTTATTTATTTATTTGACAGAGAGAGACACTGCGAGAGAAGGAACAAAAGCAGGGACAGAGGGAGAGGGAGAAGCAGGCTCCTTGTTGAGTAGGGAGCCTGACGCAGGGCTTGATCCCAGGACCCTGGGATCATGACCTGAGCTGAAGGCAGACGCTTAATGACTGAGCCACCCGGATGCCCCCCAATTTCCTCTTTTATTTTTCCCAGTATTTTTAAATCACTAGAAACTTTAGTCCAAACCACAGCTTCCCCTTCAAGGTATGGTTTATGTATCTTAGCCTTATAGGAGTGTTTAGCAGTTTGTCTTTGATCTCTTTGAATGAAGCAGAGCTCTAGTTGACATCTTCTGAGAAAGAGTCTGAGACACCTTCTGAGTACAGGGAGCCCACATAATGGTATGAGAAGGGCAACCTTAAGGAAGAGGTGAGCATTCCTTTTCTCAGTTACAGAGAAGAAGGTAGAAGTGTATGATGAGATGATAAAAGTCACCTGGAGAGAAGGGGTAGACAACAGATTGATGGGAAAAAGATTGGACACCACAATAAGAGTCATGGGAAGCTGAAAGAAAGAAAAATTCCTCAGAGCCAGAAGCACTTGAAAGAGTAAAAAACCAAATATTAATACAGTGGTATAGGAAGAGGGAGACAAAGTGATGTTTTTGGCAAAACAGGGACTTAATGCATTAATATATTATTTAAGAAGAAAGAATAAGGAAATGGAAATTACAGGTGTCTGAGGGTGAGTTTTGCCCAGATTGTTTAGGACTATAGAGGCAGCACCTGTTTATTTATTCTGAGGGAGTTTCTAAGCTCTCCTCTTGTTTTAGGTTTTTAATTACTCAGATTCTTCATCTGGTTTCTTCATTGCTCTAAGCTTCTTAGGAATTTTCACTTCCTGGTCCCCTGATAACTGCATTTTTCTTGCTGATCTGACAGAGAAATCAGTATGGCGGTCCCAAGTGAGATCCTGGTATGTTGCTATGATTTCCATAGCACTCCTCTGTGCTTGTTTCATTGCGAGCTGTGTGGGTAAAGTTCTTCATTGGGTGTCATATCTCTTGATTCCTTTTCCTATCATGTTCTATTAAGATTTCCTAGGATATGTTCTCTTTTACCCCATTAATATGTATCTCTGACTTGGAATACCATTTTTGATTTTTCCTCCTCCTCCTGTCCCTCCTCTTTTTCCATCTTTTGATAATTGACTCTGCTTCCAGATTTACTCCACCTGGTTTTATTAGCACTTTCTCCATCATGACCTCACATATGAATGTGTGTTAGTTGTAGACACCCTCTAAGACACTGTCTTCTGCTACTGGGTTCCCTAGTGATCACGTGTTCTGCAGGCACAAAAATCCTATTTTGAGAGTGCAACTATAATTACTTTTATAATCATAATAGAGATTAGGCTCTTTGATTTTCATGTGGGAGTGTTTCCCAGTATGAGAAGAAAAAGTTTTCAAATGAAATATTGAAGATATAAGGGAATAAAATATTTTTTCCCTATTCAATTACCCCCAAATAAGTACTTCAAGTTCATTTTGTGAGAAGTTATAAAGATCTTTTTGCTCTCTAAGCTACAGTTTGGTTTTCTATTTGCTGATAAGGTTATTAAAAATAGTATCAAATAGTCTGGGAGGGAGTGAAAATGACTTCCTATGTCAAATGGGCCATGTTTGAAGTTCCTTCTGAGATCTAAATCAATCTCAAAGTCTTTTTTTTCCCCACACAGTCTTTATTAAAACAGAATTATCACCTAAGTTAAAGCCTGCTTTACTTTTCATGGCCAAGTGCAAAAGAGAAGGAGGCTTAGGAATAGTTATTTCATTAAAAGGAAGCAGATATTGAGGACTCCAAGATAGAAAGTTTTGACAGTATTGAGCTTCATTAGTAGAAGGACAAGAAAGAGTAAGTGAAGAATTATGGCAGCACCTGAGAGAGAACAGGTCTTGCTTAAAGTGCACACCCTTGAACATAAAAGTTAATGTTTATCTGAGATATTTAAAATGTCTAAATGTTTAAAGGTTCCTCTTGGTAGTTATTTACCCTATATGTTTATCTGTAGCTATCAACAGTCAGAAATTTTGGAAAATATCAAAATGATCTGCAAGCTTGCTTCAGGATTATTAAAATTAAGGAGAAACAGACAGCCAGTGAGTCAACAAATATCTATTGATTACTTCGTGAGCATCACTGTTCTAGGTGTTTGAGATTGATTGACGTGGAAAACAGATAAAATCTGCCCTGGAATATAGAACTTAAATTTCAATGGGGAGAGATAAATGTTACGGGCATATAAGTGAACATGATTAATGAATACAAATAGGTAATAATTCAGCATGGTCTTTATTGAGCTTGCCTAGAGAGAAGAGTTGGTGGTGGTTGGAAGCAAGCCAGCTTGGTACAGATATATAAAGCATGAGGCTCTATAGTAAAAAAAAAACCCCAAAACATGAATACTAATCCTTCTTCCTTCACAGTGACTTATCATTTTACATATGGCAAAACTGACAAAAGGCTGTCTGAACTACATACATAATATTAACCGGCTTCAGTGAAGGGACAAGCATGGCAGGTAAGGTGTTGCAATGCCTAACCAGACTTCCCCTTTTCTCAGAGAGAGGACAGGGTTGAGCTCAACATTGGTTTATTCTTTTTTTTTTAAATAAAATCTCTGCTTTAAGATATTTCTACACTTACATGTTCATATCAGACTTTAGATTCACCCTCAAAACAATTTTTCCTCCAGACTTCTTGATCTCAATAAATGCTACCAACATACACCATGAAATTTGCTCAAGGCAACACTAGAAGTTATTCATAACAGTTATTAATTTCTTTTTTTTAGAAGTTTTATTTAT